ACCCTAGATTGTTACCCTGGATACACCCACTCAGGCAGCTTACACCTTGGCAGCTATGCCCGCCGTCCTCCTGCTCTACGTCTAGCCTAGCTGCGTGGCATGCGATAGTGAAGATTCGGCAGAGCCGGAGCAGATACGAAGACAGTAACGGGTGACAAACAGGAGTGGGTGATGACAGCTTCTGACAAACTCTGTCAGAGCCGGGTGCAAGCTTCCATATGCCCCCCAGGTGGTGGTCTGGTCTTCCTCGAGGGGACCCACGGCAGCTTGATTAGCGCTGTCACGGTGGAGGAGGAGACAGAGCACGCTGTGCGGCCGTGGGAGTAGTAGCTCGACAGGAGGACCAGGAGCAGCGGATTGGTAGCAGGTAAGTAGGCGACGCATCGTCGTTATCACTGTTGCCTGAGTATAAAAACCAGCTTACAGCTCGAGGCACGGTGTGAGTCTGATTGTGGATCTGCTGACCGTGTGATTCTTCTCCCACTTTGTTGAATTAATTTTGCGTTAAACTTTTCGTTCTCTTCTGTTTTTCAAAGAATTGAAGTCTTGCTGTCTGACAGCTGGAGGCATGGAGTGCGGCTGGTTGTGGATTTGCTGGCAGTGTGATTCTTCTCCCACTTAATTCAATTTGTGTTTTCATTCTCTTCTGTCCAAGTCTCGCTGATTTGTATTGGCTTCTAAAACCCCCACATTCGAATAGCACCACAGACCCACCGGGGGACCAGATTAAGGGTGCACGAAGTGGGCTGCATGCAGGGCTGCATATTGGCTGGCATAGCCACACGAGCGATGTTCGCGTCAGTTTGGTGGCATGAAGAGTATTGTTTTTGAGCGGAGAATGACAGGCATATAGGAGAAGAATTAAGTACTAGGCGCTTTCCTTCTGCACAATCCTGGGTAGAATCAGGATCGGCAAGGCACGGAACTTTGGGGCTTTTTGGTTGGGAACCTCCTGAATTGTGGGAGGAAAAGTGCTAACTTCAAATCCCGGGAGTCTCTGGGGGATTGTTTGCATGACTGGAAAATTTTCGCCGCAGAGAAGGGGCGTGGGGCTTTGCATGTTGGAAAGTGCTCGGGGGGGGGGGGGGGGGGGGGGAACGATCTTTGACTCTATTTGATGCTCTTGGGTTTACTCTGAATTTATGGACCCTGGTCTTTTCTTTTTTCTTTTTTTTTCAATTTACGGTCGGAGCTATATACGAGTCAGCCCACAACGGCGTGGCGCCAACCAAAGTAAGGTGAGACTCTGCCTTGGCAGAGCCTACGTGGGGGATCTGAAGAGACGATAGGACACAAGGGGGCAGACGTGGGAAGGAAAAGCTGAGCAGTTAGCGTGCGTGGAGGAGGGGCAGCACTGCAAACAGGTCAGAAATACAAGGGGCCAGGCATGGCGGCAGATAAGAATGGGGGGGAACGGATAAAGCAAACAACAAACAGCACAAATCACATGGTAAATTGGACAATATGATTATGTTGCAGGGGGCAATGAGAAACCACGCAGAGGACCGCCTAAAAGGGAAGACCTCGGGGGATGGGAACAGGGGGAGAAGGCGAGTCACTCAGAACAGACGGAGGGAACATGTGCATCCAACCATGCCAGGCCCTCCGCAAGTCAAACTACCGTCTTTCCCCCAACACAACGCACCCTCATTTTGGCTGTACCTGACCGGAAATGTAGCTTGTATACATTCATTATCCGGGTTCGTTATGTTCGGGGGAAGACAGTAGTCAAACCTCCACCACCAAACCCGCGGCAAGATCCTGGGCAGAAAAGGTGAAGAGGCCATATTCAGGGGAATCCATTACGGTCAAAAGGAAGGGGGGGGGCAAGACAGAAAAAGAATGGAAAATCCCACTGGATAATCTGACCACAGCAGGAGCCTTCTTTCTGTCCCACCTTCTCGCCCCGTCAGAGCAGATAGTGGCCAACCAGGCCGGGGGGGGGAGATCAACGATGGTCAAAACCCTCCCAGTGGATAAGATCAAGGAAAGGGACAACCTATACACACGTCATGCGAGTAACTGGGTGTTCCACAATGATGCAGCTTTCAAATCTACAAACGATAAGGTCGGCAGAAACTGGCCAACCAAGGGGGGGGGATCAACAATGGTCAAAACCCTCCCGGTGGATAAGATCAAGGAAAGGGACACCCTATACACGCATCATGCAAGTAACTGGGTGTTCCACAATGATGCAGCTTTCAAATCTACACACGATTAGGTC